GGCTGCGGTGCTGTCACTTCTGCACCCGCAGCTCGGTGCTGGGCACGGGCAGGGCAGGGCAGCACACAGGAACAGCCCCAGAGCGGTGTAACGCTCTGGAAAGTTCTCCTTTCCTACCCAAGCACGGTTGGTTTGTTTGTTCCAAAACAGGTGGAATGGCATCCTGCTGTTTTAGACGTACCTGCTCAGACTAAGTTTGACTACACTGTGACTGACCTGAAGGGAGGGCCTCGACCTCACTCACCCGATGATGAGAGGTACAAAAAGACTACATTCAGGGTGAGGCTCTTTCACTGTGGTTTCCTGTGCTTGCTGTAGACTTATTTCCCCGCTGGAAACACTTCTTTCTCTTTGCACTTAGGGTGGTGTGATAGCAGGACAGCTGACAACAGTCGGGATGCAGCAGATGTTTGCCCTGGGGCAGAGGCTGAGGAGAAGCTATGTGGAAGAAGTCAACTTTCTCTCACCATCATTTAAGCCTTCTGAGGTCTTGTGAGTCTCTCCTTTCCCTTCTGGGCCTTCCCTTGCTTCCTCCCTCCTAACCAGCAGCTCTGTCCTAGGATAACTTTTGGACCAGCATTTCCTTCTCCACCATACAGCAGACTGGTTGGCCTATGGGCCGTTCTCTTGCCCAGCCTGCAGAGCCCACTACTAAAACTCACTTGTGACACAAAGCATCCCATTTCCCTGCAGTCCTGAGAGAAATGCCAAGGACAGAGTCATCTCACCCTACCTTTAACCACTGACAGTGGTATTTTGAGCTTTTATGGCAAGTGAAGAGATACAGGTATTTCTGGAGCACAAGTTAACTCCCTGTAGATGACATAGCTAAAGTTCAGTGAAAGGAGGTACATGGCTGCTGCTCACATCAGTAATGCTGGGAGTGTCTGGTTTAGCACAAGAGAAAAATCCTACCAGAGAAATATGACGAAGAAGACAAAGAAGTATGGTTTTTTAATCTCTGCTGTCTCTCAAGGGAAGTTAAATGGCAAGTGTGTTTTTTAAGATAGCTATAGTCAGGCAAGATGAATCCCACCTCAGGTTTCAAAAGCCACAGTGAAAGCAGAACCCTCAGTTCCAGCAAGTCCTCCCCGGCTGCAACAGCACCTGCATGAAGGAGAAGATACTACCTCATAAACCCCTTTCTCTCTTTCAGCATCCGTTCCACTAATATTTTCCGGAATCTGGAGTCCACACGGTGCCTTCTAGCTGGGCTGTATCAACAGCAGAAAGAAGGTTGGAGAGACTTCTGAGCAGTGCCTTTCCTTTCTCAGCCTTCCCTAGATGCACACGCACCTCTCGGCTCTCTCTGGCTCCTGGTTGTTACTACTTCCCTGGTTTTTCATGCCTGGCCCTCTTCCCCATACTCTTTGGGTTCTGCATGTTCTTTATCAACTTGTCACTTGCTCCCTTCTCTTTGTGTAGTCTTCTGCTGGTGCTCAGCTTGGATCTATTGCAATTTCAGACCTGCTGACGAGGTTAGCACTAACCCACTTGAGAATCAAGAGGGAAAAGAGTTCCAAATACAAGGTTCACAAGATGCACATCTGAACAAAAGTTTCTCAGAGAAGCCCTAGTATCTCAGCCAGAGGGGAGTACCAAGATCCTTTACAAGTTCAGTATCTGGAGTAACTTTCAGCTGCATCCTACAGTTGACAACTACTTGTATGTCCCTCTGTGTTCAGTTCCAGGAAAAAATAAAAAGTAACAAAAGTGACTTGCCAGAGCTCCTTATACCTCACGACACAGGAACTCATTTTTGTCACCAAAAAATGAGCACACAACTGAAAGCTTTACAAGGTGCACAACAGACATCCCTGTGGAACTAAAAGCTGTGTGCACAGACACAAGCACAGTGCCTCGTGTTGCAGGTGATAGCTTAGGGGGAATTGCTAATTGACAACAATGGACTTGAGCACAAAGACTGAGAGTGATTTAAGCAGTTTGAAGACACACAGATGCAGTAGTGATCACAGAAGCACCCTTTTCTTTCCACAGGACCTGTTGTCATTGTCACTGATGAAGCAAGCTCTGAAATCCTCTACCCCAATGCCTCCAACTGCCAGCGCCTGAAATACTTGAGCAGGTAATTGCCAGCCATACCTGCCCATGTGATTTCACTGCTGTTTCATTTCAGCAGTAGTAATTTGAAACAGCATGTTTTCTTCCCATTTCCCAATTTCTTCCCCTGCCACTTACTGTTCTTTGGGAATGGTTAGCTAGTTGTATAAAATACTCAATGAGCAGTCATATACCAAGCTGTGGCAGAAGAAGAAAAAAAAATACAGAATATTTCTTGAAAGGCCAATTTAATTTAGTCTGTGGCTAGCAAACACTCATTACTAGCTATTCGGTGGCATTACTGCAGGGCAGAATAAATGTCATCTACATCCCTTAACACACCTTTCAAGTGTAAACATACTGGGCCTCCTTTTTATATTCAGCTTCTGGCTTGGGGGTTATTACAACATTCCTGTCACATCTATACCTTGAAGAAACTGAAATACACTTAGCCTTGACACCTTTAACTAAGACTAATGAAGTAAAGTAAGGAACATCCTACGTAGAACACTCATGTTTGCAGAGTCTAGTACTCCAAATGTCCTTTCCAGGTTGGGCATGGGATGGAAAGGGAGCAAGACAGGCAAATGTATTACAGCGTGGTTGGATTATACATAAGCATATTTTTGGCCAAAATTCAAGAGTTGTCAGCATTCACTTGCAAACACTCATTATATAATACTTGACTCTGCAGGCAAAGGGTTGTTCTTGACAGTGGTGAGATGACAGCCCTCAGAAGCAGTACATTCAGCCAACCATCCCAAAAGGGAGTAAACTGCAAGCTCTTCTCCCTCTCCCCCCCAGCTCAACAATTGAGTCCATTTTGTGACAATGTCAAGGTGGATTTTTTTAAGCTGCAGTAAGAAGCACTGCCTCAGCTTACAGGCTACCTATGCCAGAACTTCTAGCACATATGATTGCTAACAGGAACTAGATCCGTTCCTAAAAAACATTAAAAGCAAACTTAAAAAACTCTTCCCACCTCCTGCCCAACAGATCAGCGTCAGAGAAAACAAAACCTATGCAACATATTTTGCTTGAAGTACTTGGCCAGCATGGATATTCTCAGCTAAACTTTTTAAAATACGATGTAAAACAGTGTGAAGAGGCAAGTGACTTCTACCAAAGCAGGAGGTGAATTTAAACTAGAAGCATCTAGGTGTTTCCTTTTTCCCACACCATGCAGCAATCAAGTTCAAAGCTTCTACCGTTTCTTCTTTGATGAGGCAGTTAAAGGCTACTCCCTGAAAACACAGACTTGCAGTGTTCCAGTATGACCAGATCTGTTACCTGCAGCACAGCCCTTACTTATGGGAACCACTTCTGAGGTCTTCACATTTCAGTTTTTTCCCCCACTTCTGTGACAGCAAATAGCCAGCTCTGATCCTTTACCTCTAGGCACAGTCTGTCCACTCTGCAACTTGGACTAACAGCATCAGGAATCCTTCAGTATCCTACGGTGCTTCTCTTCTAGCCCTGACTGACATGAGACAACCCTTGCTGGGCTGAGGTCGCAGAAAAAAATCCAAAAACTGAAAAAGCTGATGTGTGAAAAGTTTTTGTGTTGTTTCTTAATTCCCTGACAGGCAGAAGTTGACGAATGTTCTGCAACAGCCAGGTGCCTCTGATGAGTTGAAAACAATTAAGGAGAAGATGGGTATTGATGATAAGTCAGTGGATTTTTTTCTCCTCCTTGATAACGTTCTTGCTGAACAGGTGAGCTGAAGTGCATCTGTTGCACTGTCACAGAAAGAAACCATTTACCACATACATAGAGGAAACCACAGAGTGCCAACACCCATGGATCTCAGTGGGTACCCCAGTACGTATCTATGCAATCCAAAAACTTTATAGAAATAGCACAGTCTTTTTAAAAAGCCTTTCTTGTAGGATGGATGAAGACTCATCTCCAGTATTTATGTGCTTACCTTGAAATGTGGTGTATCTTTCAAATGTAATGAACTAGAGCTAAGAGAGCAGTTGGGCCTTTCCCCATTACAAAGTGCTTTCCCTTTTTTGACCTAACGGAGTCATCTTAATCCTGCTTGCAGCATACTGCCCATGAGCTAGATTGCTTCTACTGCTGGAAGGCACCCGAGTGTATTTCTACCCCCCTTACTATCTCTGTTTTGCTGGAGCTAATGGTAATTGGTCTGGCTGTCACATGAATAGTTCAAGGCAGTACATTTCCTTCACACAGAAATGCATCCTCAAGAACAAGCATCCATCCTTTTGCTACATGCAGCAGGTCTGTTTAAAATCATCCTAGAACTCTTCACATGAATGCTGTAGTGCATACTGTAGTGCAAATGCTGTGACATGAACAGCTGCTTTCTGTGTGCAGTCATCCATGTCTTCAGGCTGGGTTCGGAAAGTGTCAAACCCTGTTGTTAGGTTATGTCTTCTCATTCCAGGTGCACAATTTGCCAAGCTGCCCTGTGCTGAAGAACTTTCAGCAGACACTTGAGCGTCGATGCATTGAAGCACTGCTAGTCTTTCTGGAAGACAGTACAAGGTGATTGCCTGTATCCATGCCTCCAGCCTTGGAGATTCCTTTCTGACCTGCTGCGTTCCCCCACCAGAGGCTACTGTTCCCTCTGAGGTTTGTGCCTCAGCCATCTCAGGATAAAGTCCAGTGCCTTGAGTCAGGAATGTGAGCTAGGACAAAAGGAGTCCAGAATGAAGTGGCCACAATGTGGATTTAGGTCTGGTTTGCTAATTTTGGAGAGAGTAGTTCTGAGGAACAGTAGTAAGCCACTGAGATAGGCAGTGAATGTCCCTGTTGCCATGGTCGTTTATGTGAACCTGTGCCAAAGGCAAAAGCAGAAGAGAAAAGGAGACACTTCCTGCCTGAGTGCTGAGGCTGCACTGGCAAGGCTGCCCTTGCAGATGCACAACTACAATCTGAATTCCAACCAGGGAAGTTTATCCCAGGGATGGCACCTGCACAGCTGCGCTGAGAAGTGTTGATGCTAGCAGAAAAGGTGATGCCAGGCCCAGCACACATGTAACTACTTGCAAAAGAATCTGCTGCAACGTGCAGTTCATTACCTCCTCCACAGTTGTCTGTAAAGGTGGCCGAGTTGCAAGCCTAGCAGCAGTTTTCCTTTCAGATTCATTTGCACCTGCCAAATTCACCAGCTTTTCACAGGTGGTGGTATGGGACTGGCTTTTCTGTTAGGGCAGTTGCCCTGAGCCTTTTCTTTAACTTGTATTAGAGATCTCGGGTACTGAAAGACTAATTTTCCCTGCTCCCACAACACCCAGGATAACCACCATCACACTCATCCTCCATTTCCACTGATACATTCATTAGGTAGAGGGAGTATCTTTACACCACAAGCTGTCTAAAGATCTTTGTTCAGTACAGGAATAAAAGCTACTTTTTAAATATAGCCACCACCTTTTTGAATCCTGTCCCCCCATCCTGTTCCTGCCAAAGACCACAATCACTTCAGTTGCTGTTTTGCAGTCAACTACAGACATCTTCCCTAATTGTAAAGCATGCATAAAAGTATCCCAACTAGGGAAACAACACAGAATAGAGAACATCAAGGAGTTTCTAGGTTTCCCTTTATGTGGGCCACACCTCATGAGACTGCTTGTTAACACCTCTCCCCTCCCAGGCTGCAATCCCATTGGAATCTCTGTGGTGACTATGCAACTGCTGAAATGGAAAGTAATCATAGGGACTGCATATAATAGTTCCTAGCTACACTCAGTACCTGTTACCAATTTGTAAGAGAAAAGCAAATTGCCAGGTGTTTGTTAGAAATTACTGAATTTGAAGGTTAAAAAACCTAGATTTATTTCTGTTTCTTTTGTAGAGAAACTCTTCGGCTGAGTATTGGTCTTCTGTTCCATACCTTACAGAAGAACATTACAGAAGCAGTAGATCCCTCATATGCAGCTGAAAAGGGCAGGTACAGGACAGATCTCTTCCTCTAATTGTTTTAAATTCTGATTTGCTGTCCGTGTGAGAAGCTGGTTTAGAAAGATGTGGAATGTGTGGGGTAAAAAGAATGAGTGCTCATCTGCTAGAAAAAGTATGAGTGCTACTGGTGATCCATGGAGGAACACGGCTAAAATTTTAGGTTTGGTTTTGTGGTGTTTTTTTTTTCTTCCATTTTTATCAGAAAGCTCATTCTCTATGCTTCTCATGATGTTACCCTTATGCCTCTCCTGGTGGCACTGGGCACCTTTGATCGCAAGTGGCCACCTTATGCTGCAGATGTGATCCTGGAACTGTATCAGCACAGGCAGTCCAAAGAGTGGTTTGTCCGCCTGTCTTACTGTGGAGAGGTAAGATCCCAGGGGCAGTCCATCATACAAATCTAGGGCTTTTGGTTTTGCCATGCATGCAAAGCTGTGAAACGAGACTTGTTCCGAGCATGCTGTCAAGCCAGACAATACAGTACAGACCTACAGCACATCCATGGTAGCCAAGATATCTTTCCTGGTGAGCTGACTATTGCTCTAGCATGGGTTTAGGCACAGACTGAACCTCTGCCTCTCTGTCTTTGCCTCAACTGGCATAGTTCCCTGCTGCAGAATGCACCAGCATCAGCAAAAAAAGGGCTTTGGCAATACACAAGATCTGTGATTTTTGTCTTTGCCTTTGCAGGAACAAGTGGTGAAAGGATGTAGAGCAGGGATCTGCCCACTTGAAGAATTTCTGGAAGTTCTTTCACAGTATTCTGTCAGTCCAGAGGAGTACAAGAACCTGTGTTCCCAAATGGAGGGGAATCAGCAAAAAACCTCATAAATAAGATAAATTAAAGTTAGCTTATTGCCACAATCTTTGACTATTTTTCTTTCTATTCCTGCCAGCCTTCTCTATTCTAAAGATATTTTAGATGAGGGGACTTTTTCCTACCAAACACAGGGTGGCACAGTGTTACTTTTCACTGTTAGCAGCAAGATGAAAGAAGCTGCGTAACAGAATGGCTCAAGTTCATTTCTGAGGTAGCCACACAAAAGCACAAGAGAGGCTGAAAACAGCAAGAGAGAGAACAGAACTTTTTGAATTGCCCTGCTGCTTCAGGAATACAAGACAAAACGTAGCTTTTCCTTCTATGCTGGGCCTGTGGGATGAAGCCCAGCTTGCTCTGTGCTATCAGACTTTGGAGCTTTGACATAATGACTGCTTGTATGTATGGTGAACTGTAGAAGCCACCGTGCTTTTTCTTTTGTCATGTTGAAGGGCTGCTCTACAGACAAATGAACCTCCCAAATTGCATAGCATTTATCTACCCCATCTTCTTGAGGGCATTTTTGTGCACATAAAACCTCTCCAAAAGGACAGAAAGCCTTCAAACCTCTTCCTTTGCTCTCCTGTAATTATGGAAATTCTGTTATGGACATGCAAAACAGCCAGAGTGGGCCAAGTACAAGAACTTGCACTCTTGGTGAACTCTGCTTAATGTGCTTTAAACAAGGAAGTCCGTGGAGGAGCTGGTATTGACTTCAGCTCTGGGCAGCATTGCAGCTATTTTGCACTTGCTGAAACAGGAATGCACCAGCATAGCCAACAGAAGTACTTCTAGCTGAGATGATGACACTTTTTCCTATAAGGCAGTACTAAGGACCATCATGTTGCAGAAATTCCTCATTCTCAATCAGTACATAAAACTTAGATGCTGACCTGCCTACCTTGGCATATGCAAAGGCTAAAACAGGGGAACCACTTACAAAAATGACATTGCATCATTTTAAGGGGTTCTGTTACGCCTTCTCTTAACTAAAACAGACTGCAGTGATGTTAATGCAAGTCACTGACAGATGTGTGACTGCAGGCACTAGAGTACCCTTCTCCCCGAGAAGCGTGGGCTGAATTTACCTCTACTCTTTCATTAGCCTGCCCCCACCACAATTACATGTTGACACCATGCACAGTGAACAGAATCATTTGAATACTAACTACATTGCTGGAGGTCTCACTGAACTGTTATTAGAAGCAGTCAAAAAAGCAAACAAAACATTGTTATTTTCCACCAAGTTTTTATACAGCCTAAAACCATAATGCCATTATATAAAAATCAATGGCCTGCCCTTGCTTAAGAACAGTGTGTTCTGCTCTAATCAAACTCTCTGCTCTAATCAAGCTCTCTCTTATGCATGGTATAAAGTATTTGGAGAACAGTGATGGAAACATTAGCCATACGATTGCAAGCTATTTGTGAAGCACAGACTGCTTGTGATAGGGGTAGGAGGGAACAGCATCAGAAGCTTTAGCCATACCAGTAAAATAAACAAATACCTTCTCCCAGGTTATAAACTGCAACATGGCCAAGACCCACAGAACTCGGCAGTGTGAGCTGACCCAGTGCACGTAAGATTGTTAAAAGGGCACTGCATTCACACTGTTAAAATAATCAGATCATTCTAGGCAGGGTAACATACATTTCAGTAACAGCAGACAACACTGGCCAGCTCCTTGGCAGTAACTAGGAAGAAACCTCTGCTGGGAAGAGATTATTTCATCATTGTCCCTTACAGGGTTTCTGCAGTGCAGAACTGCAGGACCACAACTAGTGTAAATCATTATTTCAGAAGAGGACTGGTGGGACACAGAAAGAGTTTTAAGATCAAAGGGGGGAAGTGCTGAACTACAAACAGTGTGGAAGAGCTGAGGCATTTCTGAGAACATGGAATAAAAACTTCTAGAAATCAAAAATGTCCCAAGGAACCAGTCCGTTTACATGAATAGATTGGCTTTTTGCAAGAACTGGGAAAGGCACACATCCCAGGGGGCAGAAAAATCCAAAACTGTCTTACCCTGTGCTGTTAATACAAAAACTGCTGACATGAACAGCTAACATGTTTAATCTGAGGCTCCTCCAAACTTTACCTGGAGATGCTAACCCAAGCTAGTCTGCCTCCCTTGCTATTATAGTCCAATGCAGTTTACACAGGTTGGTCAACGTAAACCTAAAAGACTTCTCTTTCATGTTGCACTGCAAACCTATCCTTGTCCAGTATATTTTATTTTAGGCAATGCTAATATAGTAGGTAATTGGCAGGAAAAATGTTAACTTAAATTTAAGGGCTTGTTTTCTCCTTATGCAAAACACCCTCTTTTAAAGTTCTCAGTATCCCAGACAAAACAGCATCACTCCTCTTTCCTGCCTCACATTCTAACTTAAAAATAATCGTAAGGTTAAAACCTGAGTGGGTAATGAGGACAAACAAACCTACAAAAGGTTTGTTGACTGAAAGCCAAAGGAGATCAAGAGGACAGTAAGCTTGGTATTATTTGTCAATACATCTAACAATTCAACTACAGTTTGGGTCTGGGCTTTTTTAAGGCCTGAAGAACACTCCTGACAATACGGTTTAATCTTAAGCAGAAAGAGCACAGTAAAGCTAAGTGTTACGTGTCTATCACAATAAACAGCATAAACAGAAATAATTGGAAACTATGCAGACCAACTAAAAATGGAACAATCTTTCAATTAGAGGTCACCTCACCATAAAGATGACACAGCACATACGGAAGAGAACTCACCTTTTTTAAGTTAAGAATTACTACCAATCGATACAGAGAAAGTACGCTCTACTAAATACAAGACTACATCAAACATGAATAATTTATCCTCGTGAAGTATCAAAATAGGGAACAGATTTTGGCCAACAGCCTGCCAAGGATGCACGAGGAAGGCATTCACCATTGTGACTGCAGAAAAGCACCATAAAAAAAATTAAATGTAGCCTTTTCTGCCATCAGAATGAAAAGCAGCACAGTAGACAGCATACCAAGCACCACAAAATTAAGCCCTGTGTATACCATATTTGTAATAGCCTCAACATTTTGGCACGATAAATGCTGCATTCCAACAGACTAAGCAGTGTGTTCAGGATTCACACCCTTCAGGAAAGGCCAAGCACTCACATCTACTTCAAGTCAGTATACATGTATTATACCAGAAGCACCACCTGCATTCAAAACCCAGTCAAAACTGATGTAGATTAGTTCTCCACATACTGGTCTGTCTTCTGAAACACTACCCGTTAGATACCACAAAGAGGTCCAGACTAAACTTGTAAGGCTGGCTACTTGCTTGTCGTGTTCTTGGGTAGATTAAATAGCCCATGATACAGGTACCAAGCTTGAGTGTATTTGGATGGTGCTTAAAACTGCCAGTGTACTTCACAGATGACCTGCCTGCAACAGTCTACTACTTTAAAACAAACAGATTTCAAATATTTTAAACTTTTGATTTAGCAGGCACATTACTCTGCGTTGCAGAAGTTCACCATCTGCTGGGTTTACCTTTTAAGTCTCTCCACACTCCGGCTGCGCAGCCATCTGGGATGAGATAATTTGAACAGCAGACTGTTTCCTCCCATGTTACTAGAGAGGAAGAGCAGCCAAGCATGTATGAATAAAGTCTATTTCATTCTTTCAAACAAAGGTGGAGGAGGATGATTTGAAAGTTTAAAAAAAAAAAAAAAAAAAAAAAAAAAAAAAAAAAAAAAAAAAAAAAAAAAAAAAGAGGAGGGGGAGGGGAAGAAAACTAAAAATGGCAACCCCACTTTCCATCTTCAACTGCACCATGACTACCAGAGCTGAGTCAGAGTTACTAGTGATTATAAATAAGCAGGAGAGAACAGAGCCTTACAGATCCCAAGGTGAATTTGCAAAGCTGGCAGCTAGAAAGCTTTTACATTTGCAAAGCAAAAAGGGGAGAAGTAGAACTGGAGCACAGCAGAGAAGTGCAGTCTAAATCTACCAAGTCATTTTGCCAACCAGAGCCAGCCAAGGCATTAACATCTCTTGCCCATCAGCTGGTGCAAACCAGGCAAGGCCAGTGAGGTGAAGTGCACCCATGTGGATTCAGGAGAATCCACATCATCCGCATTTTCTATAGGAAAAATCTCATTAAGATGCCAAATACCAGCTTCTTAAGTTAGATCGACATAGAAGGGACTTTAATTACCCAGCATCTTTAAAATGTATTATTTCACTATCAAATGGCTTTGAAACAGTGAGCTCCCCTATTCTAATTTTCTGGAACAAGTTGCAGTCATCCCAAATCCTTTGCTAGTTGAAATACCTCAACAAGCTCAGAAGGCACAGAGATAGACTTTGAAAAACCCAAACAAACCCTCCAGGTTATTTCTATGTCGATCAAGAAGTTTGCTTTGTTCAACACGGTAAAAACAGTCAGGAGTCTCGGCAGAAATGGCAACACTTAAAAAAGACTGCACTGTGACAACTCCCATGCAAGGTCCTCAAAAGGGAGCTGTGTAACCATTTAAAGAAGAGGTAACTCCACTCTACAGAAATAGCACTTACTGTGTGTCATTGTCAGCTCCTTCTAAAATCTTGACAAGCCCAAGCTTCAGGCACGCTGCTTGTCTTCTCACAGGGAAGCACCACAACATACATCCTACACTTTGTCAAAAGAGTAATTCTCGCCCAAAATCATTGCAGATTTGCATGACAGCACAAAGGTGAATTTGGAAGCAGACAACAGAAGGCTCCGAGGCTTGCGTGCCTCCCATGATGCATTGGCTTCACTCATTTTGTAACACTAGCAACAAAACTTTGGTAAGCTGGCTGCAGACAGCAATTCTTCTCCCACCTGTTAAAGATCAGTTACGTAAAAAATTCTCATGTTCAAGCATATTAAAGATACTAATTCTCCATATGAAGTTTCACACTAGTAGCCAGCCCTTTGAGGAAGCTACTAATTGAAACAGTTTCTAGTAACAGTAACTGTAAGAACAGAGATTACACACTCCATACACAGCGCTGGGGGACCAGAGAGCAGACAGCCACAGAGC